TTTAATAATATTATTATATATTTATTTTCAAAAGAAAAGTCAACATACAAAATAACATGAAATAAACCAAAAAAACATCAGAAAAAAAATAAAACAGTAATATAATCTAAAAATTAAAATAAAATAACTAAAATTAAAATAAAATAACTAAAATTAAAATTCAACAAATAAAATAATCTAAAATCTAAAATCTAAAATAAAATAAAGTAAAATAAATTTGTAAATAAAAAAGAGATATTTATTATTTGATCATATAAAAAAGGTCAAATCTATTGAAAGGTTTTTATATATGAATATTGATTAATAAAATGAATCTATCTACTAAACAACACTGCGTTTATATTGGAGATGACATATATACTATATTTCATTCATTTGTATGTTTCACTTGTAAGCTTATTGAAATCAGTCTGTTGATAATTCAACATTATTTGACGTTGTATTATAGCATATCAGTAGATATGATACTTATATGTGGATGTGATAGAATTTAGTTTGTTACTTTTGTTCTGCTCATCTATTGCGTTATCTATTGCGTTCTCTTGTATATCTTTCTCTTCTCTTCTCTTCTCTTCTCTTCTCTTCTCTTCTCTGTTTCATCTAGGATCAGTATGCAAAAATACGTGAAAGAGAGAAGAATCATTTATAAGAGTAAGAAGGTGAGTTTATATTCTTTTATTGTGGATGAAGATTGAAAGAGTATAAATGAAAACATTCACCATGTTATTCATGATATATCCTGATCGATTAAAAAGAACGACAACACTTCATACAAACAAATGTAAGTATATTTGAAAATTTAAAGAACATTGACTATTTTCTACAATTTGAAAATCAGATTTAATTTTCATATGTGAAATGGTTTTTAGAAAAATAGAAAAACAACTTTCTCCGATAACTTTACAACAACATGAATAACATGAATATCACACAGCTAGATCATTTTCCTTTCACATATAATACCGATAGCAATGAATGGCAGAGAGTAGATGTATTTTTGATTCATCACTTGTATTTTTATGTATGCTTTAGTCATAAGAAAATTTTCATCTTTTCGAAAAAGCGAAGCTTCATGTCAATTAACAGAACATATTCTATTAGAAAAAAAAGATAGTATCAAAGAAAAACATGACAGATGAGCTTTCTTGTCTTTACAATAGTTGCTTATGGTGTACTAAAATAATGCACACAGAAAAGTATGCGACTCATGAAAATTTAGTACAAATATTGATGCAATACAAAGATATCCGATGGATCCTCAATGTCGGATTCCTATGAATTCCAAAGAAACACCGTTGCATGTAATCGGAAGTTCAATGGGTTCCGACCAGTGGTTCCGACGTCAATTCCTTGACCCGGAATCCTATAAGATTCTGTCGGACGGTAGGATACTATGAAGTTCCTATCGGATTCGGTGTGGGATTTCTCGGCCTGAGAACTTGCATCCCATGTCGCACAAACCGATCGAAAACCGTCGGTTAACCGCGGTCCATTTTTATAAAAATCGGTTAACCGCGGTTATTTAAGCCATTTTAGCGACTTTACAGCGTAAAAACCAACGGTTAACCGCGGTTAACCTCCCAGTTAACCGGAAAAATAACCGCCAGCTAGCGACATAACCGATGACNTCAAATCATAAATCTCCTCGAGTACATATAAAGCACACGCTTAAATACTCAATCATTTGAGAGAACGAAGGAGAATGAGAGATAAAGACAAATATCAAGAACAGAAAGATAAAGACAATAGGTGTGATGAGAATAAATGGTACCATAAGGTCAGATATTATGCATAGGTTATACGTTTTCGAACAGGAGTGGTACACCCCTGGATGGAATTTGGACGCTCTCCGTATATAACGTTACAATATTATGATCTTTGTGTAGAGCGATCTTCAGGTTAAACTCTTATTTTAAAAGTATTCAAAAGTTTTGTCATCGCTAATTGTCATAGATTTAATCCTATCTACACAGAGCTTTTATTCTCACTAAATCTTGTACATATGTAGGATCTTATGAAAAAAAAAGTTTGTTTTGAATATATTTCATATTTTAGTATATTTCCAGCAGGTTTCCAAAACTTCAGTAATTACACAGAAATGGTTATCGTAGAAAATAATCGATTTCAATAGATATTTCGTTCTTTTTCTCATGAAAATACTAATACAGTTTCTTTTATTCTGAAAGGATGAATTTCTACTATTTCTAAGTTATTTTATTTAAAAATTTGCCCAACAGTGAACGCTTATCTATTTCATTGTTCGTTTATTTATTATTTTCGATTCTACTCTAATATGCATATATCAGAAATATCTATCAAAAATATTGTCTTTTACCCTTACTTTTTATCAATGTTTCTTAAAATTCATATTATAGATGATACTACTTTTTGTTTATTTCTTTTTGTTACTTTTTCATTATGAATCTTACGAATGCAAAAATTGATGAACGTGACAAAGTACTGATACAGAAGATAGTCAAAGTACTTCAAATATTCACTATATATTTTTTATCTTACTTTTAGTTATTGAAAGAATTAGCGGTTCAACCGAATAAGAAAGATTTAGTCGACAATATTACCACAGTTTCTATTTTCCAAGAGATTAATTCCGACAATAGGATCATACTGGATTCGGCAGCCACCCGATTCGAGTTTTTGTGGATTTCTATAAAACCACCGTTTTCCGATATTCGGCTTTCTAGTGTTGGGATCCGACGTCCTAGTAACCCATGTGTTTCATTACGATGAAACTGTGGCGCAGTTACTGCGTAACTGCGATCGCACAGTGACCCGTAATTGCGGAAAATTGCACCGTAACTACGCGTAGCTACCATGAAAAAATCGCAATTACGGGTAGTTACGGTGAAAAAATCCCAGTTACGCATAACGGCGTCCACGTTTTTCGCAATTATGGGTTACAGTGTCGTCGCAATTGGTTACAAAAGATGATATAGATTNAAAATTGCGCCGTAACTACGCGTAACTACGATGAAAAATTCGCAATTACGGGTAGTTACGGTGAAAAAATCCCAGTTATGCATAACGGCGTCCACGTTTTTCGCAATTATGGGTTACAGTGTCGTCGCAATTGGTACAAAAGATGACATAGATTAGATTTTCACTTTATTTGTACTTTTATTGTGAATTTAAAATATTTTTGCACAAAATAAAAAATTTAAAACTAGAAAATTAAAATTTTTATAAAATATAGAAAAACAATTTTTAAATTAAAAATTTTCACAATAAAAAATAATTGAAAAATTAAAACCTAAAAAAATTTACAAATTTACAAAGTTAAAAGTTTAAAGAAATTTTAATTTTAAAAATTAAGGAAAATAAAAAATAACTATCTAGAAAAATTAAAATATTAACATCTAAAATAATTTTTAAAAATTTAATAAATAGAAGAAAAAAAATTTAATTACAAAAAGCTGAAAAACTAAAAAGATTTAAATCTAGAAAAATTTTAAAAAAATAAAAAATGTATTCTACTGCTTATAGTAGAATGATTTATGAAAGAAAATGTGACGAGCACTGCTATTTATACTGATTTTCTGTGACTGTATTTTATTGTTAGAGTGTAGCCAATTACAAATAAGAAGGAATAATTTATAATTGGCCATTTATACCTACAAGGGATCGTAAGATGCGATCACTAGGACGCAGTTACGTTGATCTTCATCACAGTACGCGTAGTTTCTTATAGAATCTCCACTACGATCAATGCGCCATAGTTACGCGTAACTGCGACGCAAAATTGGCGCTGCGCGTAACTGCGGCACAGTTGATAAAAAAGAGACGACATGGGAAGGCTTTAAGTGATGTCTGGTCTGATGTTGAGATTAGTTATTAAGCTCTACTTGACTAATTATATAGGATTCGGCATCGGATTCATTCACCTGGGTAAGAAGGATTTCTTTTATTTTGAATAAAATATCTTTTCTTATTATTTTAATTTTAACAATCGTCAAGTGAATTTAATAATGCTTAAGAAGCCCCAAGAGTAAGCATGGAGTTTGATCTTTTATAATTCTAGAGTTTTTTTATTTAGACGGATGTCGGTAGTAATACATCATTATTCACTGTAGGTTAGTAATTCCTTTTTCCGTAGAGTCATACAGGTTATGAGTTGTATTGTATGGATATCTGTAGTTATTTTTTTATTACTTATTATCATTTTTTGAATAGGCGGGATGATGCATTGGCTACCACAAATTTTAACATGGGGGTACGATGAGCAAACAAAGACAAAAAATGCTAAAAACGAAAATGACTTCTTTTTTTAAAATAAAATGAATGTACAGTTATATTGCTATTTTCTTTTCTTGGAATTTTCTTTTACATAGCAGCTCGATCTAGGCATTTTTTCGGAAAGGCTTTAAAATAATAGAAAGCTTTGTAGCTCTGCAAACTAAAACCAAGGTGAATGAATCCGATTGGATTAAGAGTTGAGGAACTGCTAACGGATGGAAAATTATTATTTTGTTTTGTGGACACTACCCAAAGTTCCGAATATCGGTCCACAGCCACAGCCTGGATTCTACAGGAATTCGTCAGTTCTATAGAAATTTATATCAAGTCCAATTGGACTACCGTTGAATATTATGCATAACCTAAGTCCATCATTCAGGCCGCCTGAATGATGGAATTAAACTACGTGAAACGGCGTAATTAACGCCGTAAATGATGAAAAACGATCGTCGTTTTCCACCGTTTTTCGTCAGCTCGAATTACGGACCGTTCTTCCTCGGGACGTTAACGACTGACTGTTTACAAGGAAATTGTGATAATATTTCGTTTACTTCTATTCGAAATCTATTCGTGTTTTTTTTACAATTTAAAACAGATTTTCAAATAATTCAAAGTATTGGTGGTGGACCAGATACTGGACTTAGTTTACTCGTATTGCATCACCTACAAGAATAATATTCTGATCGCATGTTTCCATTTGTTTTTTATTAAAACAATCAAGAAACAAACAATGCATTTTCATTTTAGGAATGATTATTGATTACAACATTTTTCCATCACCACAAATAACAGAATCTATCGTTGAACCATATAATGCTATGCTTGCTGCTCAACATCAGAGTGATTCAACTGGTATGCTCATATGTTTTGATAATGAAGCTCCCCATGTAATAAAAATCGCATGAAAATCGGCGGTTAACCGCGTTTTTACCGGCTCCCATTACCGCAAAAAAGGATCCGGTATTCGTAACATGGGCCTTTTTTATATTTGAAACCGTTCATTTAAAATTTCTTTACCTATTATGAATGATCGTATGTAATTACATTTAATACATAACATGATTTCTGAATTCTATTAATTTTTTTTAGTTAATCATCCTATTGGAATGACAATGTCTGGTTTTTTTCACATCCCAGGTCGAACAGTCCAGCTTGGAAGCGGCCGGTTCCGGGTAGCTCCGTTGGTTTTGTGAAAGCAGTATTTCGGTTGGAAATTTTTCTGATTTTTTTCCGGTGATTTTCGATCAAATCCTGCCGGAAAGCACCGGAACTTGCCAGGAATCCGCCGGAAAAGTTCGGGCTTATTTTTTATCGGAATAATGCTTCCATGTTCCAGCGATTTCCCGTATTTTCCTACAGAATATGGCGACGTTCCCGCATATTTCCTGGAGTATCCTACGGGATCTGATGGCCGGAATGTTCAACCTGGGATGCCTTCGCTTTCCTAGTTATTGATTTGTTATGAATCGAAATTGAATTCTATTGTATATCACGGGTCAACTAAATACTGACTTAAGAAAACTTGTTCTTTGCTCCATTAATATCAAGACGTGATCAATCATATCGAGCGATATCTATACGTGAATTAGTTGATCAAGTATTTAATCCTCGTAATGTTATGTGTGCTCTCGATCTAAGACAAGGACAAAATGTTACTGTTGGTATGTGAGTATTGTGTTGTTTATTACTTTGTTCACATACACAATTGTTCAAAGCACTAATATTTCTTGGTTGTTTATCAATGTATCAAGTCGATGAACACAATGCTGCGTGTACAAAATCGTAATGTACCATATTTTATTGAATGGATTCCAGATAATGTGAAAACAGCCGTGTGTGATATTCCACTAAAATGATGGTGAATGTCTTATATTTTTCTTGGTAAATTTGATGATTTAATGTATGCAAATGGATTGTTGAGCATTTCTTTTATAGCGAATAATACAGTGATTGAACAATCGTTTAGAAAAATTGGTCAACAATTTTGTGCTACATATCAATGAAAGGCATTTTTACATTGCGATATACTGCTGAAAGGTAAATCTGTTTTAAAAGAATAATAGTTAGTCGATTTCTTTTTATTATTATATAACTATATATAGAATGGATGAACATGAATTCACTGTTGATAAATAATTTCGATCTCGGTGTTTTATTTTATAGTTGCGCTTGATCTCTTTGTTTTATTTAACTGAGACTAGCTTAAATTATTAACCTGTAGATAAAATAATTTGATTCTGTCTAAATATTTTTTTTTAAATAAAATAAAATATTTTAAAGTATTATAAATGGAAATGAGAAATTATCTGATTTATAAATCACATAAAATTCACTAGGTTTTGTTTAGCTTTCGCTTTTTTTTATTATCCTTTTTTATTATCTAATCGGATTTTTAAACAAAGAAAAACAAAATCTTAAAATTTATATCTTATCTGTAATATACTTGAAGTACGAATCGTACTCAAGGTCAATTATTTTCTCGCTACGTAATGCAAGTTGGGCTTGCATACTTGTTAAATATATTCTGTTCTACGAGAAAAGATAAACGTTTATTGACTAGTTTCAAACACTTAGCGAAGAGCAAGATTCTTTAAATTTAAATAAAATCGGAAATATTGTCAGTGTCAATTTAATTTGCTTAATGTTTATATTGTCTAGTTCACCATTGTATTTCAAAATAGATGTGTTGTGTTCATTTCTGTTCTAACTGTTTTGTACTGCTACGGGTCATTGTATAGGATGACATCTGACGAGTACTGACCATTGGTTACGTTATATCCACTAGTATATTCAAAAGCAGCTGACTGTCTGACAACCAAAAGTGGATAGACAAACAACTAGAGAACGGTTTGATAAGAAGATCAAAAAGTTGGAGGACGAAATGAAGCTCGTTTATTATGTCATTCAGTCGAAAAGATGAATCCAATACAAACTCGTCGAGCCAAAATTCTTGCCATCTCATCATCATTTGCTTTAATTATTTATCTTATTCGTCGTTATCGTCGATATGTAATACTAAAAAAACGACAATCTTTTGCCAACCGACAAGTAACAACGACTTCTAATACTCCTTCAGCTTTGCCAATTAAAAAAGCGCTCAATAAACAATTTTTCCATCAACTTCGAGTAATTGTTCGAATTCTTATACCACGTTTACGAAGCGATTCATTTCTTCTACTAATTACACATTTAGCAACACTTCTTACGCGAACATTTCTTTCCATTTATATAGCCCATCTCGATGGTGCTATTGTTAAATCGCTTGTACAAAGAAATGCGCGTGATTTTCTGCGTGCAATCAGTATATTTTTAACTGTAGCTCTGCCAGCTAGTTTTATTAATAGTGCAATTCGTTTTGCAGAATCAAAGCTTGCACTAGCATTCCGCTCAAAATTAACTCGATATGCATATGAAGCGTATTTTCGAGTAAGATTTATTTGTATTATAATTGTTGTTTTAATATTCTTAGTAATTTAATCATTTCTAGAATCAAACTTATTTTCGAGTGACAAATTTAGATAGTCGATTATTGACACCAGATCAAAATTTAACAGACGACATTGAAACATTTACAACAACGTTAACTCATCTTTTTTCTCATTTGACAAAACCATTTTTCGATGTAGCGATTATTTCATGGTCACTTATTGCAATGGTACGACAGAGAAAAAATGCACGAGGTCTCAAAGGTAATTTCAACACAATAGATTGTTCCTCAGGTTTCTTTTTAAATGATTTTTCTCTCTATGTTTTCAGAGGTTCCTGCTATGTTAGCTGTAATTATTTCAGTTACTTTCATGGCTCTTCGAAGATTATCACCTCATTTTGGTAAACTTGTTTCAGAAGAAGCTAGGAGACGTGGTGTACTACGTTTTGCTCACACAAGAGTTATAGCTAATGCTGAAGAAATAGCTTTTTTTGATGGTCATGAAGTATGTTGTTGAAATTTTCTTCTCACATATTGACAACATTCTAAATTTGAAATAGGTTGAAAAAAATTGGATATTCAAATTGTACGACCAATTACGGGAACAAACAAGTTTAATTATTACAAAAAAACTATGGTTTATCATGCTCGAACAATTTCTAATGAAATATTTTTGGCATGCATGTATGTTCGTTCTCATGAAGATATTTTCATAAATAATCGATCTTTTTATTTAGGTGGAATGGTATTTATTGCTATACCTTTTCTTACATATGATGGACCGGCAGAAACCGATGGTATATAATATCTGTATAATCGTAAATTACTAACTCATATTTCTTCTTACTAGATCCAATAGGAGATCCCCTCGGTATTAGTACACGTACAGAAGCATTTACAATCAGTAAAAATTTATTAACATCGGGTGCTGATGCACTTGAACGTATTATTTCATCATACAAAGAAGTAAGATAAACTTATTAGTGTATATAATATATATTTATATATTTTTAATCTCTTGATTAAAGATTGCCGAGTTAGCTGGACATACAAATCGAGTTTACACAATGCTTAATGTTTTCGATGAATGCTCTCATGAACATTATCAAAAAGCTTCTGTGACAACGCATGAAGGACATCATGAGCATGCGTTATCTAATATAAAAAAGAAAATGACACTAAACCAACGAGCAGGTGAGTCAAATAACAATTGCGAAAAAAATGTCAATGTCTTGTTTGTCTTTGGTTACTTGAATAGAAGGTCAAATCATTGAATCTGAAAGAGATATTATTGCTGACAATGTACCAATCATCACACCGAATGGTGATATCATTGTTGAAAGTCTTTCCTTAACAGTAAAACTCTTTCATAAACATATTTTAAAAACAAAACTACTTCTATCATATTTGTTCTGTTTTAGATTACACCAAATATGCATGTTCTTATTACTGGACCAAATGGTTGTGGTAAATCGTCATTTTTTCGTATTGTTCGTGGATTATGGCCTATTTATTCGGGCCGTCTTCATCGACCAAAACCGTCAAGTTTCTTTCTTATTCCTCAACGACCTTACATGTGCCCTGGGACATTGCGTGATCAAATTATATATCCACACACGGCTAATCAAGCATTCGTTGATGACAATGAACTAATGGAAATTCTCAATAATGTCGAATTACAACAGATTGTACAACGTGAAGGTGGTTTAAATGCTGAACGTGATTGGAAAGATATTTTATCTGGTGGTGAAAAACAACGTCTTGGTTTAGCTCGAATTTTTTATCATAAACCAAAATATGCTTTACTTGACGAATGTACAAGTGCAGTATCAATCGATGTTGAAGGCAAAATATATGAAAGAGCAAAGGCTTTAGGCATTTCACTACTTACAATTACTCATCGACCATCTCTTTGGTTAGTAAATTTTGATAATTATTAGAATAGAATTTTTATCTTTGAATATTTTAAGGGCTTATCATACGCATTTACTTCAATTTGATGGCGATGGTCGATGGACATTCGAAGTATTGAATACAGAAAAACGTTTGACATTAAAAGGTGAGAAAGAACGTCTTGAATCACAATTAGCAGGTGTTCCAGAAATACAACAACGTCTAACTGAATTACGTCAATTACTGGGTGAAGGTCCAGAAGAGAATGGACAGAATGAAGACAGTGATGGTGATTAAATTTTTCTTTTTTAGTAATAGTCAAGAGTTTTGTAATGTCTTGTTTTATTTGAATGAATTTTTTTTTGCAAGTTTTGCTTTCAGCCAATGGGCTTTTGTATCTTATTTTAAATTTTTTGTGTGATATAAACATTTCATGTGATTAGGAATGATGTAGAATTAAATGATTTTGTCAGGTTCATTCTTATGAGTTTTCATACATGAATCATAAGAATACATTTAAAACAGTTTCAAAATAAATATTTGTGATTTACATTTATGCTCATAGAAAAAAAGTCTTTTCTTTTCCATGAATAGAAATCAAAAAATAGTTAGATAATTAGTACATTAAAATTGAAATATGGTGTGTGAATCTTAACGGATTTTATGCAGTGGATATAATTCAAATCTTCATTTTTTGGGCAAAGTTCATACATATAGAACGAAATCCTTCATAACTATTTTAAAATGAAATCGATTGTATGAAACTTTTGACAAATTTTCATCATAGCTTTCTTGTATTCCTAAATAATCTAAGTACTTAACATCTGCGAAATAAGCACAAAAATGTTGTCTAAAACGGTAAAAATTTGCTGTTCAATAGCATATGTTATTATACTGACCTGTGCATGCATTAGATTTTACAGATGAACAAATAATAATGTCTCTGATATAAGAGTCGAATATATTTTACTGGATGGAATCAGGTTCCTTACCATTTGATTGCTTAATTCCATTAGGAATTCGAAAAAATTACTCAAGTGTTTTCTAGCTGCAAGGTGCAATTATTCAAGTGCTATTTCATTTTATTAACAAAAGTAAATAATCAAATATCGAATGAGAAATGAAATTCTTAGAAATACTACCATGATAATTCCAAGCTATCAAAACCTTTCATATAAACGACGATTCACTCATGCAGCATTTATCTATATGACAACGTTTTCTTTTCCTTAGTATGCAAAACCTTGCGAAATTTAGTTTCACAGCTTAAGATTGTATATTTACAATCAAGCTCTCTCTAAATATTTAGAAAGTGAAATAGATTTTCAAATCGGATTAAGAGTGCTTTCCAATAAATGAACGTTGTGAATAATAATAATCTTGGAATCGAACTTTTTTTTGCAAGTGCATGCAATTCTTGACTTTCTTGATCAAGAAAGTCAAGAACTATGGACACATCTTGCGACAAGACATGAAGCCTTTCGGTGAGCTCAAGTTCCTAAGCTTCTTGCTCATAGTCTTGTTCATGCGCTTGAATTTTTATCTAAGAATTTCTGTGATTAAAGAACTTTTTCAATTTTTTTTCAATTTTACATTCAAAATAATTCAAATTGTAATAAAAATTCATAGTTGGATCTTTTGTAACTCATGCAAACATTTAAACGTTTGTCTTGAGCAAGAAATTCATGCACTATTGACACATCTTGAGCTCACGTCTTGACAAGCGCATGAATAAAAAAGTTCGACTGGGGTAGTGTATGTAAACCTACGAGAGAATATTTCCAATTGTTTTTCTTTTGGGGACTATTGCCGTTCTATGGTTTATGATGAACAATAAAAACAAGTCTCTTGTAATATGAATGTCTAATCTTTACGTACTTTTTAAGTTATGAGTTGTTGTACATGATTTTTATCCCATAAACGGAACCACTGGAAAGAAAATTATATGATTAAATATTGATCGGAAATTTTGGTTATATGTAGACCTTATGATTACTAGAAATATCTCACAATTCAAACTTGAACAACTATAATAAAACCTCTCTACCACCATGTGAACTTTTTAAACCTAAAAACGTGTCTGAAAAGCATTTTGTTTGCGCGCGGATTGCTCAGAGTGGAGCGTCTGAACGCGCCCTCAGCGAAACGAACGAAGAGTTTTGATCAGGATTACCAAATCTCCTGTTGTGACCAGGGATCTCCTGATTTTGAAACTTTTCTCATGATTTTTGTAATGTGACGGTTAGCATCGTTTTGAACCGATAGCGATTTCCAAGAGAAAAGAACCAATTTATGGAAACGTTAAACTTATATATGGAATGATAGTCGAAATTAAATGAGCCATGATTTAGCTGGAGCTGAGTTGAAGATTAAAATGAACACTCATTTTCAGTGTTGCCAGATGTCCCCAGGTCGAACATTCCGGCCACCAGATCCCGTAGGATACTCCAGGAAATATGCGAGAACGTCGCTATATTCTGCAGAAAAATACGGGAAATCGCTGAAATATAGGAGCTGTATTCCGGTAAAAAATACGGTCGAACTTTTCCGGCGGATTCCTGGCAAGTTCCGGTGCTTTCCGGCAGGATTTTATCGGAAATCACCGGAAAAAATCAGAAAAATTTCCAACCGAAATACTGCTTCCACAAAACCAACGGAACTAACTGGAATCGGCCGTTTCCAGGCCGGACTGTTTGACCTGAGTCCAACTTGAAAGTTCGAAAACTTGCGGAGCTTTTTTCAAATGTTGAAAAAATGCGGAAAGGTTTTTTGGGTCCTTTTTTCATTTAAAGTACGTTTTACTCTAACGGATTCGAAACAAAACAACTCTTTATGCATATCTACAACATATATTTAAATAAAAAAAAGGTGCACATCCAAGAAGGCTGCTTGATGTCAACCTCGAAAATCCAAAAAAATCCGGAATTTGTTTTTCGAAATCTAGAAAAATCGAAAAAAACTTTGAAAATTCGGAAAAACTTTCGAAATTTGGAATTTTTCCACAAGACGTGGGGATCTGGCAACACTGTCTATTTTACTTGACTAGAACTCTATGATTATCTTTTAAATGAATTAAATCTTTCGAAACATATATTCGATTGTTAGATTTAAGCAGAGTCACGTCGCAAAAGTGTCACGAATTACTGAGTAAATTGGCTAAGTAGTTTTTACTATGTATGCTAATGAGCATGTTTTAATTATCTATTTAAATAAACTCTATGAAATCAGCATTCTATTTTCAATTTTAATTCGTTTACAAGGAAAATTTTCAGCATTAATCCCATTATACGAAAAGAGCTTAATGCATCTATATAGTGAAAAATCCGAAGTTATCAGATAAAATCATCGAATGACTGTTGAATGTAAAAAAAAAGCACTCCTGGTTTTTCTCTTGATTTAGGAAAAAATTCTCCTGAAAAGCTCCTGATTTTTCACAGAAATTCCCTGATTTCTAAAATTTGAATTTGATAACCGTGTGGCTGGCAGACAATATAAGTGGATTGAATTATTCTGAACTTACTGATGGTCAAAAAGTATCGATTATATCGGTGTGTATAAACGGTGATGCCAGAAGATGGCTCCTCGAAAATTTGTTCGTATTGGATCCATGGTCAACATTTATTCAAGAATTTAAAAAAGAGTTTGCACCAACATTACTGAAAGAATATGCTATGTCTCAAGTAAACGAATGTGTGTATGAGTTAGATGAAACGATGCTATAGTATGATAATGGCATTAAAGAGGAACAAAATTGTGAATTATTGAAAGAAAAAGAAGTACATTTAGATTATTCCAACATTAAGTTAGTTGACTTAAATAATATTATCTTGCTCAATACGTGCATTGTGGAAACCCAGGTGAATGAATCCGATCGGATCTTATAAAATCCGACGAGTCGACAAAGTCCCATGAGATTTCGGGTTGAGCAACTACTAACGGATCCCTAGTGTTGGAATCCGCTGAACATCCGACGAAATCCGACAACCGATTTCGATAGAAATTTTAGAAGTCAGATTCCAACGAGGCCCTAAAGAAACCTATCTGATTTTCACTGGTTCCTGCAAGAATCGATCGGATTCCAATACTAGGGATCCGTGAGTGGGTCCGCAGCCCGGACTTGCTTAGAATCCTGCAGGAATCGATCGAGTCCGGTTGGATCCAGGTACCCAGGAGGATCATCCTGCCGTCTGAAAGGCCATCCGAAACCGCCTAAAACGGCTATAAAACGGCATTAATTTTCACCCTATTTCACCGTTTTCTAGCCGTTTCCTGCCTTTTAAGGCGCCGTTTCAGACGGTCGGAAGATTCTCCTGGGAAGTGATGAAAATAATGGTGAGGTGGTTTGGCCTGATGAATGCAAAACATGGTTCATTCATGATGAATTGCCCCAGCGATGCCAATCTATGCGATCCAAGCAATCAGACATACCCTTTAACTCAACTTCAGATCTTGATGATAATTTTTTGTCAAGAAAATTTATTGAATTGTATCAATGTCTTATCATCGTCTGTTATGAACGATAAATATACTTTTTCTAGTTACAATATTGAAGCATTCGGCAATCTATTAAAATTACATGTAATTTACAACGATATTGTCTCATTTTTTCTGTTTCTTCATAATTACGTCCTATTATAAACACCTGTTTTCGAATCTTCACTGGTGATGCAGCAGATTCATATTTCTACCACGATGTTATGCCGTATGACACAGAAGATCGCGACTGGTTCCGGTGCTTAGCTGTCCCAGAGTACTTTATATCGATGAAAATCGTTATTTGAGATCAACGCGTATGCTCAGTCCGCTTTATGGTTGGTACAGTTGAGACTACCAGTCGCTGCGAGCCTCTTTCTTCATTTTTCTTTCTGATATATTTTTAAATGTTTAAATTTATCATTATTTTTTTTTCTTATACTTGTAATGAATTCATCTGGCTGCCATAAAATTCATATAATCATTGTTCAAATCTTATTTTGGGTTTATATTATCTTTTTGTAGTCATCTTTTCTATTATTGTTCGTTTTGCGTTTTTTCTTTCATCTTTTCTTGGTCGGTTGGGAGGGGGAAGTGTTATGTCAGGAGATATCTGTCCTACCATAAGTATGATCTTTCTTCTCTCAGTTCCATTCTATCACGTTTACAATCATCCCATCCTTCTTCTCGTATCTATTCTATTCAAGTGAATGTTCATGTTAAAAGTACCCAGGTCGACTGATCCGACATCGGATCCGATAGGAACCTGGAAATATCCTACAATCGATGCAATTCTATTTGATTTCTGGTCGAGGAATCGATGTCGGATCCTCAGTGTCGGAATCCTATGAACTTCCGATGACATGCAACGATGTCTCCTTGGAATTCATAGGAATCCGACACTGAGGATCCGGCATCGATTCCTCGATCCGGAATCCAACGATAATTCTGTAAGATCTGGCAGGATCCGATAAAATCCTATTGGATTCCAGTCGGATCGGATGGGTTCCGATAGGTGCCTACTGTCGGATTGCTCGGCCTGGGTAATGGGGATTACTTCTTGTGAGAATGTAATAATAATAAGAAGAAGAAGATTGTAGCACAAACGCAAGAAACTCATGTTTTTCACAGAATTTTCACTTTCAGAACGTAAAAGCGGCTAATAGCTACAAGTATGAGTATCTAAGCACATTGTTTTTATAAGTATAGAATGATTATACCTTTAATGGCTCATAATTGTAGCCTATAGTCAATTTTACGGTCTGAAAGTGCCAACTAGACATTCAAAAAGTGAATTAAGTTTCAAAAAATTGAAAATCATTGGCTTTTAAAGCATGCTTAAAAAAACGCGTATTGACTATATTTCATATTTTAAAATGTGTTAACTTCATTTACAATATTTCAGTTCACGCATATTCTGTGATAATAGAATTATAGCTCGTTATTTTTTCTTTATGTTCGATGGAATTTATCTATCACATTTTCTTAATTATCTATCAGCTATTTATGTGTCGCTTTTAAAGTCAATGCTCAGTCTCATAGGTAACATTATTTCAGAATCATTTAGCCGTTTTAATTGATACAACTTCCTTACACATTATCACTTAAAGTTTCATTTAATAGTGAGTAATACGGTAAGCAAACGATATATAGCAATCCATGTATGCATTAGTTCGTTCAAATAATCACCAGTAACATCTATAATTGAAGTTAATCAATACTTTTTTTCTACGTTAAATACATTCATATGTTAATGCTAACAACGACTACTACAAATATAAGGATTGCATTGATCTAGTCATTGCACAGATGTATTATTTCTAAGTTGTTGAATTAACTTTCTTATTTGCTCTAAAGAATTCTAGCATTTATCATATCATGCATCAATTAATTTTTATCGTTCTTTCTGTTGCTATTATACAATTGAGCTGCGCCTGCTACATAACCAACTGTCCTATTGGTGGCAAACGAAGTTTATTATTAGGCAACAATTTAATTAGCCATCAAGTGAAAGATCAATAATCATATACTTTTCTCATGATTGTTACTATTCATTTTTTTAAATTTTAGTGTCCACGCTGTGGACTGAATGGTCAATGTTTTGGTTCATCAATTTGTTGCACTGGTTTAGCTTGTCGTATGGACATCCATTCGATGTTCGTCAATGTTCCTTGGAAAACCGTAGTGTCACACCATGTGACGTGAATACTTCAATTTGCTCAGCTGTATCAAATGGTCGATGTGCTGCTAATGGAGTTTGCTGTAGTGCAGGTCAGCATTTTACTTTTACTTTTTTAATTTTTAAAGCCATGGAATATATATATATATATATATATCTTTTAGATTCATGCCAAATGGATAAAAGCTGTTTGGTATCAAATCAAGAAAGGGATGATAGCTCACGTGAAGATTATCTAGCACAAGCGGAAATCATGCTTTTCGAATGACATTCTGCATAGTTCTTTTTCAATCATGACTATCAATGCTCGCGTCTATTTAAATAAAATAATAAAAGCTAAAATACAGCCAGAATAAGACAAAGAAACAATTTTTAAAAAAATGAGTTTGATATGATTGTCTGGCAACATATATTCTTCATAATACGATGTTCATGCCAAAATGTATTGAGTTCAAAAGAAAATTAACACTCGTCTATTTTATTTCACATCCATCAAAGAAAACTCACATTCGACCCTGAAACACCCATCTACCAAAATCTTTCAGACACTATATGAGTGTGGCACGGGTAAGGTAGTAACATTTCAATTTATCTCCACACTGGAGAACAATAGCATGCACTATTATTACGAACAAACAAATTTAATCTGCTTTCTGGTGTGTTAAAGGCGTCAAAAGTGAAAACTTCGTGAGAAAACATGTTAAATCTAGGCTCTAGTGGAATCTAGTCAATTTAGATAAATTTTAATAGGTTCTAAGAAAGTCACTATTATATTTGATATGAGTCGCCAAGATCTAAATATCCTAAATTCGTAATATTGTACTTGAACAAAGCAGTAGAGTATCTATGATTAATATTCAAAAATAAAATCAATGCTAAATATCTGATTTAAACATGAAGAGATCTAGGAGAAACCTGAGATCATTGAATAAGAAAATTATAGAAATCGATTCAAAGCTGTAAAAAGTATTGTTAATAGACATGTTATCTGATGGGATAACTTTTGTTCCTATCCCATTGGGAACTCTGTTTAAGAAAAGTTTTTCAGTAGTCTATTGTATTATCATTGACCTAATGGTTATATACTGAATACAATCAATGGAGAAATGTCGAAATGAGATGAAAGTGTCACCTATATTGATATTTTTTCATTCGACATTTTTCCATTGGATATTTGTTTTTTTGATATTTTTGCTTTTGCTTTCGACATCATTCACTGTAACCATTATAATCATTTAAATTCAAGAAAAACAAATCACTCAAAACAAAAAATGAGAAAAAGTAAGACATTGAGCGATGCCTAACAAATTAAATACTAAAAACGTACGGATGCAACTAACATAAGGGAAATTTCTCTGCATAATTTTTTCAATTGATCTTTTGATATGATTCTTAAGAATAACTTAAAATTTTCAAGTTAAATAATTATTGGGAACAATCTTTTACATACTTGAACATTTTTTAGTGATGTAAATAACAAGCGGACGTATTTTGATTAATTTATTTATGTAGACGGTATCAGAGCACTATTATCATAATGATTTTCAACAATTTTTTTGTACATTTTTGAACTACGCATTGGAATTACAAATGAATATCTTTTTTTTTATTAGCGTTAGATTTTTTCATCTTTTTATTGAAATCGATATTGAATGCTTGATGAAATTTTTTTACTTTTCTTCCTTGAAAAGTTTTATTTTAAATTCAACATATAGCTAGTTATTTCTCAAATGAATTGGTTTATTGTTCAAAAATATAACAATGTCGAAATTTTGTAAGACTATCAAGTGATCGACGAAATTATTCACCGGAAGCTTTTCATGTTTTGAGAACTTCCTATTCTATTATTTTTCTTGTTCGAACTATAAAAGCAATATAACGCGTTTCTTTAGTTGATATTCATATTTAATTAAGATTTATTTCACAAAGACATCAATATGTTAAAAGAAGATTTCAGTTTCAATTCGAGCTTTCTATATATTAATTGTAGAGATTTTCTACTAATTGATGATGGCAATGTATATGTTTTTCAATACACCTGATGCGAAAGAAGGACGATGTCTAAAAGCGAAAGAATAAGATTAATTCACATGTAGATAACTGGCTCAAAGTGAATATAATGTTACCTTGATCACACTGTTTACAAATATGCTGTTGTTAACATTCGATGATCTTTTAAAAAATATCTCTACAATATTACGAATTGTTTTCTTTTAATTTTAAAATTGATGAAATAAGATTATTAAAACATTGTATCAAAAGACGATGTTTCATATTTCTCAATGCCGCGTGATTTTGAATACACAAGAAAGTTTTTTTTTATGAAAATGTATATTCTCTCATATGAAAAACGTTTCTAATTGAACAAAACAAAACAAAATCTTAAATATTTTCAATTAAAAAACAGGAAAGAAAAGAACAATAAAGATCACCATTTTAGATTTAGATTTTTGAATTTATTTTGAAGAGAAAACACTGAAGTTCTTGAATAATTTCCAGAACAATTTCATGCCTCTACATAACAATTCATAGTCATGAATGGCATATGTAATTGATGAATGATTGATTTTATTTCAATATGTAAATTAATCACAATCAATTAAACATGGGTCCATTGAAACTTCAACTTAGAGTAATCACGATTCAATACGTTTACTTAAATTTTCAAATCTATTTTTTTGGGTTTTAATTTTCCAAGAATCGATATTTGTTTTACGTTGAGCGTCGATAATATATTAAAAGAAGTGTCTTTCACAGTGTACAGACAAGGAGGCTAAACGTTCATTTTATATATTGTGACATTTTTTAGATTGTATCCAGGTGACACAAAAGACTGTTAAAAAGACTATAGTCTTTTTTCTAGACAAGTCGGCCGTCCAGTCTAGTCTTTTTCTCAAAATGTCCTAGTACATGACTAGTCTGAAATCTCGTATAGTCCATAGTGCCCGTCCGGACTATGAAAGTGACTGGAGTCATTCTATTTGTCATGCGTAGTCTTTTTCGAAAGAAAGTCTAGACATGCTGCACCATCCTGACGCCCGTCAAAAATAGAGGGGTGCGTCGATACGGGTACAATTTGTATCGCCCATCGACATCGTATCTATGTTACATTGTTTCCATATATATATATCCCTGAAAAACCTAGAATTCATGAATCATGTAACGGCTTGTATCGGTTTCTATTTAGCCTCTGTTTCATTGTATCGACACATTCTAACAGAGCCTCGACACAAGCCGATACGTGCCGTTACATCCCGTTACATGATTCATGAATTCTAGGTTTTTCAGGGGTATATATACGGATGCATTGTAACAGAGGCTCGAATCATGTAACGGCATGTATCGGCTTGTATCGGGCCGCTGTTACAATGTATCCATATATATACCCCCAAAAAACCTAGAATTCATGAATCGTGTAACGGGATTTAACGGCATTTGTCGGCTTGTATCGGGGCTCTGTTACAATGTATCCATATATATACCCCTGAAAAACCTAGAATTCATGAATTATGTATCGACTTGTGCCGAGCCTCTGTTAAAATATATCGATACAATGAACCAGAGGCTCAATATAAGCCGATACAGGCCGTTGCGTGATTCATGAATTCTAGGTTTTTCTGGGGTATATACATGGATACATTGTAACAAAGCCCCGATACAAGGCGATACATGCCGTTACATGATTCATGAATTCTAGGTTTTTCTGGGGTATATATATGGATACATTGTAACAGAGCCCCGATAAAAAGCGATACATGCCGTTACAGCGCGTTACATGCAGTTACCTCCCGTTAGATGCCGTTACATGATTCATGAATTGGAGGTTTTTCATAGGTATATATCTCGATACATTGTAAGATAGATACGATGTAGATGAGCGATACAACTTGTATTTGTATCGGCGCAGCTATGTCTACTTGTTTCCTGATCCTCTACAAAAAGAATGCAAAACTATTTCATGTGTTTTATAAATTCTATG